TCACCTCTAACTCATGACAATTCCTTGTGTGTCACAGTAGAACTGTGCTCTAGAGGGTTTTCAATGGCTGATTTTTTGGAAATAAATTGCCAGGCCTGTCCCAGGTACCTCTGAATGGACTTGATTCATCAGCCTTTTGGTGAGCAGATGAGCATGTTAACTGTTTTTACCACTCAGGACTCCTTGCAGACAGATGGTTAGTAGGTATTTGGACATGCAAGCCTTAAAACCAAAGAAGAGATCCTGAGACACAAATTTGGAAGCGTATGGGCGACAACAGTTCAAATCATGATAGGGAAAATAATTGTCCAAGGAAAACATGGACATTGATAAGAGGACCAAATCCTGAAGTATGTCCAAATTTAAGGCATAGTTGGAAAAAGAATTCATCAAGGAAAGGGGGGAAATAAAAAAAAAAATTAAAAAAAGTCACTGGCAGATAGCTTTATTCAGGAAGGTAGACTAGCTTTTGAAGTTACAGTTTGTTAGAATATTCATGACACAGTAACTGATGAACTGTTCAGTTTAGTATTTAGTATTTTCTAAGTGCTGAAGACAAGTTAAGGGAGCCCTTGTGGTGCAGTGGTTAAGTGCTTGGCTGCTAATCACAATGTCAGCAGTTCGAACTCACCAGCTACTCTGCTGGAGAAAATGTGGCAACCTGCGCGGGTAAAGATTTATAGCCTTGGAAACCCTGTGGAGCAATTCTGTTCTGTCCTGAAGGGTCACTATAAGTTGGAACTGACTCAGTAGCAATGGGTTTAGGAACACAAGGCATACATCATGCTGGGCCAAGAAAGCGGAAGACAGAGGACATTAAGCTACTGTTCTTGCCCTGGAGGAGCCTATAGTTAGGGGAGGCTATTGCTTCTATTTCACTCCCACACACCAGTGAAATTGCCTTATAAATGAAAAAAAAATACCACTCAGTGAATTCTAGCTTTGCATCATGAAACACACATAACTTACTTTGTTGAATTATTTTTGAGGAATGGTGGAAAGAAATGGGTGTAAAGTATTCAAGCTGTCAAAGACAGAAGACATGGGTGGAATCATACATACATGCTTTAAAGGTACAATTAAAATGGCTCTCTCAGGGCTCCAGAGCTAGGAAAACATAGGTGGAAATTAAAGAGAATACTTCTTGGTTTAGATGCTATATGATGTGTTTATATCTTGACCAAGAAGAACTTTCTGATGGAGCCAGGCCATAGCTGACTTCTTCTGTTTATGTCAATTCATATATTGTCTGGAGGACAATGTTGTTAGCTGTTGTCCAATTGGCCTTCCACTCATGGACACCCTATGCACAGTGGAACAAACTGCTGCCCATTCATGCACCGTCCCCATGATCGTCTGTGGATGGGACAGTTGTGCTCCACAGGGTTTTCACTGGGTGATTCTCAGAAGTAGCTCACCAGGCTTTTCTTCTGAATCCATCTCAATCTGCAAGTTCTGCTGGAACATATTCAGTATCATGGCAACACACAAGCCTCCACTGGCAGGTGGTGGCTGTGCATGAGGCACATTGGTTGAGAATCAAACACAGTTCTTTGCATGGAAGGCAAGAATTCTACCACTGAGCCACCAATGGCCTCACCTGCAGGACCAGTGGCCCTCAGAATTGGAGTTACAGTATAGACTTGAGATCTTTTCAACCCTGGTATACCTGTTTAACCCTGTGTATTCCTAAAGCAGCAGTTCTCAAACTTTTGGGGCATCACATACCCCTTTGAGAATCTGATGAAAAATCGTGAATGCTATGCTGGGGTTGGGGGTGGGGAATAAAAGTACTTACATAAGTACAAATACTGTTAAAACAAGATCTCCTTGGAGTCTTCCATAGCAAGTCCATGGACTTCAAGAGGTTAGGGCCTCTTGTCTTGGTGTATTTCCAAAGGATGAGAACACAGCCACTGTTATCTCTGGAATTATATACAGTGAAGTAAAAAATATCTTTGGGACTTAATTTAAAACCATGACTAAGGTTTACTATGCATCTAATGGGTGCATCATTTGATTTTATTCTGACAGCCTTACTTTACAAGTGGCCCCAAGCAACTCACAACTTCATAGATATATGTACATAATCATATGCACATATTTTATCTTAAAAATAATAATGATGTTGTTTGGTGAAACCACATATAGTCACAGAGATATATTATTGTAATTGAGATTCTCTAGTAGATGGGATTTTGGGGGATTCTTTCTGGAATAGGGCTGTCTTACATATTTATACTGGAAGAGTTCATGAGCTATTTTTGATACTTAGACTTTAATCATGCTTAATGAACTGAACAAAACATAATTCGTGCTTTGTTTGGGTAACCTTTTGGATTTCTTCTAATGCTCAGTTTCATCTGACTACACCATTCTCGAATTGCTAATACACAAAATGCTAATTCAAGAGAGGACCACAGAAGTTAGATTTCATTTCATAGAAGTACATTCCGTATTCACATACCTTCTGGAGGAGCAAAGCTGTGAGAAGAATGCT